GCGCCCGGCCAACTTGTCCACTTTCTAAATATGCACTTTGTATTCACCTAACAACTGGATCCACTGCCCTCAAAGGAATTCTTACAAGTGTTTCTAGGAAACTTAGTCTCTCTGTGAACTAAGGCTATCTGACATAAAGCAAATAATTCCAAGGAACAGGTTTTGGCCAGTGAGTAGCTACAGATCCTGTAAAATGCACAGAATTGACTTGGCAACTCTTCATCATCTCTGTTCTTAGAAGGCTGGAAAAGTAAACACCGTCAAGGAAGTTAGGGAGAGGGGTGTGTGTGCATGCGTGCACATGTGTGAGTACGGAGATTTAGAAAAGTAAAGAGACAGAATGAAGACTTCGGTCTCTGGGAAAACTATAGATAATATGGCTCAAAAAACGTTCTCAGTATAAAATGCCTAAAAATGTAAAGCACAATATCAAAATATATCTTCATATAATAAACTGATCTCCAAGAAAGAGAAATCCTTAGTGGTTAAAATTTTGTGAGGCCAGCATCCAGAGAGGAACGTGAACACTGAAGCTGGCAGCTCCCCGGGCGCCTCCTCTGGGGTTCCCCCACCTGTGAGCACCCACTGACCTCAGGGACAGATGCTGGGAGGACAGAGACAGCCTCCAGCTGACACAAAGTCGGGGGTGAGATTCGAGGGTCTGCATAAAGCCCGGGATCTTAGAGCTCTCTCCTGGGAATTTCGGCCACAAGCTGCCCTCATGAGGGTTCAGGCATTGCTGAGTCCCAAACCCCTAAGCTGAGAGTTCGGTTTTCAGAGACCTGGGGGAGTAGCATCAATGGAGGGGTTTGCTCATTGGATTCTCTTTGCTGCAGCCCCATTTTCAGGGTGGAAGTGCCCCAGGTAACTGGCAGGAGCTCAGGCAGTTCCCTTGGGATGAACGTCCATCCTGGCCTCAAAGAGTTTTCATTCCTAACGTTCTCACAATGCAAGTTCACAGTCAAAACACTGAACGTAAGGACTCAGGCGCCACATTCATGAGAGTAAGCAGAAGCGCCGGGCGCGGTGGCTCAAGCCTGTAATCCCAGCACTTTGGGAGGCCGAGACGGGCGGATCACGAGGTCAGGAGATCGAGACCATCCTGGCT